ACGACCACGTCCGCCCCAGCCATCCCAGCCGCGGCCGCGACCTCGGTTGTCGGCATTGTCGGCATTGTCGACATCGCGCTTCCAGCCGCGGTGACCGCCGTCCCACCAGCGGCGGCGGCATCGGCGCCAGTAGGGGTCCCAGTACCAGCCCCAACCGCACCATCCACCTCCGCCACCCCAAGGCCATCCGGGGCCAAATTGCTGAGTGTCGCGCTTGCTGAGGTCCTCGATACCATCGATTGCTTGGAACTCGTCGACCTCGTCACCATCGCGCTTCACCTCGTCATCGTTCTCCTCCTGAACATCGCGCTTGGACTCGCGACCGCGGCCGCGCCTGCGGCAATAGTGGTAGTAGTCGTCCCAGTCGTAGCCGTCACTGCAGCGGCGTCGACCACCCTGCTCGATGTCTCGCTTGTGGTAGTCATCTTCATGGTCGTCATCGCCTCCGCCCTGGTCGACACCATCGATTGCTTCGACCTCGTCGACATCGCGCTTCATTTCCTCGTCGTTGTCGTCCTGAACATCGCGCTTGGATTCGCGACCGCGGCCGCGCCTGCGGCAGTAGTGGTAGTAGTCGTCCCAGTACCAGCCGTCACGGCAGCGGCGGTAGCCATCCCAGCCGCCGCCACCCTGCTCGACATCACGGGCAAGAGCGGGCATACCAACGGAGGACTCCTGCGCCGCAACATCGCGGACCGGAAGGCTGACAGCGGAAGCACCAGGGGACGCAACGCCCATAAAGGCGAGCGTCGTGGCCACCAGAAGGACAGAAGAGATGCGAGTCATCGCGGAAAAGCTGGAGGACCCGGAGCTAGCGGTTATCAAAGGGTAGGAATCGAGTGTGAAATGGTAAAAGTTGTGAGAGGGTGTGTTTGGAAGTGTCGCTACGTGGGATCTGGTGAGCGAGAGAGGATGGTGTGAGGGAGGTTGGGTTGACCTGGATCGAGTCGCCTTATATCCTCTTCGGTTCCCTCAGACGAGCATAGCAAAGGCTGTCCAGATCCGCCTGACGAGCTCAGGTGGTCTGGTGCAGCAACGACAGACTAGAGACAAGCTTCAAAGCGTCAGTGCATCCACGAGCCTCTCGTCGCGGCCTCGATGACCCGCATATGTTCCTGCCCGCCGGGGTCTTCCAGAATGCAGAAACGGGCAGCGTGGCAGTGATGAGTCCAACGAGAGCTTGACCGATACAGTGCTCGCGGCTTGCTCTTCTCGAACAATCTTCTCGACTGGAACAAGCCGGACGCGAAGCCGAGCGGACGGCCAAAGGTCCTTGGCTAAGCTGCTGGGAGCTTCTGATACCTCCGCTATTGGAAGACGGCCGGTTACTTGGCAAGAGCCGCGTTGGAGCTGAGTCAACTACGATGGCGAAGGCCTCTTTCGCTTCCTTGCTGTCGATACATGGGGTGTGTGTCGGAACAGCGAGTACCGGACAGTTTACGTGGCCGTCCGCTCTACCGTTCCAGCCACCGAGACGGAGCGACCACGTGGGCCGAGGCGCCACATTGTCAGCTGCGACCTCGTGAGTCCCCGTCCGAGTGCAAAGACGATGTGCAAATCGATGCCGGCGGAATCGATTAAACCCGTCTCGAGGCTGGTTGCGAGAGATTTGACAAGCCTAGTGATCCGATTGATCAGCACCAAGTCTTCCGTCGCCTACCGGCTAGACGTCACTCTCCCGCTCCGCTATCCGCACTTCAAACCTTGCATGCTCGCTGAAGAGACAGCTCTTCGTCTTTCCAGCGGCCCTGGATGATGGCCTCGTGGGCGCGAATGCTTTTGTGATCATGTGGTTGTCAGCTGACCCCGTCCATCTGGTCGCTGAACAATCACCTCGCCAGGTAAGCCAAGGCTAAGGGATGAGTAGACGTTCGGGCTCTTCCGGCTTCTCGGGCTGAGTGAGAGACATGTGGCTGATTTCAAGGCCTTCTACCAGCTCCATGCCGCCATGGCTGGGCCTGGAATTCGGCGACTTTTCTTCCCAAGCCAACATCGACATTCCGTGCGAAAGCAGAGCGCCACAAGTCCGCTCGCACTCGATCCTCTTTACTGACGATCGCAAGTGAAAGTGACCCGATGCTGAGTCAAGTGGCTACTTTCTGGCGAGCTTGCCATGGGTGTGACTTTAGAGGAGGGATTGGGTGACTGTTGGCGACGTGTGGAAGCTGACTGCTCGGCCATTGTGAGAAGCTGGTGATTCTCTTTTCGGGCCCAAGTGACAAACATGACTAATGACTGTTCATGTAAGCAATGCTTCGTCAGTCGAACATGATCAGCTTCTTAGCGCAGTAGGTAGCGCGTTG